TTCTCCGCGTTCGGCCCCCCCCCGCGCCCCGCCCCCTGCTGGCTGGAGCCGCTTCCTGACGCGATTCCCCTCCCCCTTGGGTTCGCGCAGGGAGTCGGGCCCCGGGCCGCTGCCGCCGCCACCTCGGCCGCTGCCGCCATCACCTTGTTCCACCACCCGCGCCATGGCCGAGGAGCTCTCCGCGGCCACGTCGTACACCGAAGATGATTTCTACTGCCCGGTCTGTCAGGAGGTGCTCAAGACGCCCGTGCGGACCGCGGCCTGTCAGCACGTGTGAGTAGACGCCCCCTCCCCGCGCGGAGCCGGGTGGTCGTTTAGGCCCCGCATCCGGCCCAGTGTCCCCCGCTGCGGCCTGGCGGAGCCCCGGGCTGCCCTCGCGAAGCTGGGGGCCGGCTCTCCTCGCGGCCCCCTCCGCCCGAGCTCCCCGCACCGGGTGCTCCTGTTTTCGTGCCCCGAGGTAGTAGCCAGGCCCGCCCCTGGGGCGTCCTGAGGCCCTGGAGGCCCTGGCCTGTCGGCCAGGGTGGGAGGAATCGCAGGGAACGTGGAGCCTTTTTGTTTCCTAGCAACCCGCGTGAAGGCTGAGTGTCGAGTGTCACACCCGCCCAGGTGCCGCTCGGGCCCGCGCCCCGCTCCGGGACCAGCGCGCCCTCAAAGTTTTTCTCTTCCGTTCAGAACCTTGGTCATCGCTTCTCGACCCAAGAACCCTCAATGAACCCTGCCTCACAGACTGCCCTTGAAAAGTGTTTCATTTAAAATTAAGAGTACATTAGAATGGCCTGGAATGAGGTTTCTTCTCGCCCGTGTTAGAACTGACAGGATTTCCGGGTATTGAAGTGATAGTTTTCCTTTGTTTTACCTTCTGCTTATTACTTGGTTACGACTAGGGTGGAGATAAGGAAGATTTCTGTTACAGGGAATGGGTTAAAAATGAGGGAAAACATTAAAAGGATTCGGAGAGGTGCCCTGATGCTTTTCGATTTGGCATATTGTAGAAAGGGATCTTAATAGACTGTTAGAGTGTCAGGAAGGATCAGAAGGAGCCTTTCTTGAAAAGGTGTGTAGCACTTCCGGCAAACCTGGCTGGCTAACAGTCTCTGGGGAACTTTTTAAGCAAAACATACCAATTCCCAGGCTCCACAAAGGAATTTCGGGCAGGAGAGGCCAGGGCATCTCTAGTTTAAAGAAATAGACTTGGGCTTGAAAGTTCTGTGCACTTGTAGACAGATGAAATAATTGAACATGCTTCTAAATGTATGTAATTCCCCCCCCCTTTTTGAGGTGGGGGTTCTATAATTTTTGTGAAGAATGAGTTGAATTTTGGGTTCTTTAATCACAAAAGACATCACTACAGTTATTTCTTTGATACCTTTTCTCATTCTGTTCCTCTAGTGCATTGTTCTTCATTCCTTCCTGTTCTGTGCTGGTTGAGTGAGCCAAGAGTATATAGCTTTTAATGGTAAAAATTATGCCAGTTATGTTTCAGCTTTTTAAGGAGATGAATGACAGTTCGAAATTTCTTTATTGCTTGATACAACAGATGCAGATTGTTTGATAAGTATTTCAAGTTGTCTAAGGCACAGTATATACGTTTTTGCTTTCAATCTGTCAGTGTATTCATAATTTGATGCCTATCCCTTATTAAAGGAAATGTAAGTGCTAGGCTGGAGTGAAGAGAAAAAAAGGGAGGGAGGAAAGGCAAGGTGAGAGGAAGTCATAGTAGTTGCTACCTATCTATACCTGGTAGGTTCTTTTCTGGACAGAATCATTTCAGTTACCCTCTGGATCATTGACCTCATGGAATGCATTGTAATTTTTAGCTCTCCTCAAAATTCCATGCAGATTGCTCTTGTCCACTTCCTTTGTGGGACATTTTAAATCAAGGACTATAATTTGGTTTTACCGCAAGACTATGAGCAAGAATGGAGATGATTGTTCTTTTTTTTTTAAAGAAATATTTTATTGAACTTTATTATGATTAATTTCCAGTTTGATTAGAGAGAGACAGAGAGGGAGGGGAAGTGAGAAAGCAAGCCACCATGTCCAGGACTCACACTGTGATCGTTCATGTGGGAGTCCAGCACCTTTAACCACCATGTCACCTGCCAATTTGTAATTTGATCAGAGAGTAACAGAGAGAGAGAAAGAAAGTGAGAAAGCAGGTGTCCAGGTCCGGGATTCAAACTGGTGTTGACCATATGGGAGTCCAGCGCCCTCAACCCCCATTCCCCCTGCCAGCCCCAATATTTGTTTTTTTTTTTTAAAGAATTATTTATTCTTTTTTTTTTTTAATTCTTTTTCTTATTATTTTTTATTTGACTAGAGAGAGAAAGAGAGAGGAAGGGAAAGCGAGAAAGCAAGCTGCCAGGTCTGGGATTTGAACCATGGTCAACCATGTGGGAGTTCAGCACCTTTAACCACCACGCTACCTACCGGCCCCCAATGATTGTGTTTTAATTCAGGACTTTTCTTGAATCAACTCCTTGTCTTTAGAGGTGACCAGACTAGCCTTCCACTCTTATTTCCTCGACAGTGGCTAAACAGTGAATTAAAGAATAGGTAGAGGTAGGACCAGAAGATGGTGTAATGGTTATGTTTCTAGACTCCCATGTAGTCAACTGAGGTTTGAGCTCCAGACCCAGCAGCTTCAAACTCACACTGGGTGCTAGGGAGGGTGTCCAAATTTGAGAGGAGAATGGAAGAGAAGGTATTGCAGCGTGGCCATCCACCCTGGGAGGCGATTTCTTGCTTTCTGTCTCTCCGGCGAATGTACGCACCCCATAGCAACATTCTCTCTCAGAAAAGAAAAGAAAAGAAAAGAAAAGGGACCAGCAGATAGTGTAATGGTTACAGTCACTGGACTCCCACGTAGTCAACTGTGGTTCAAGTTCTGGACCTAGTGGCTTAAAACTCACACCAGGCACATGTGTGGACGTGCTCAAGATCCCGAGAGGAGAGTGGAGAAAAGGGGTTGTGTTATGGCCATCCCTCCTTGGGGGGATGACTTCTCATTTTGTCTGTTTCTTTCTTTGGCAAGTGCACATGCCCTATAGCAAAAAAACCTCTCTCGGGAACCAGCAGTTAGGTAATGGCTATGTCGCTGGACTCCCATGTAGTCGACCGCGGTACGTGTCCCGGACCTGGTGGCTTAAAACTCACACCAGGCGCGTGTGCGTGCGTGCCCAAGATCCCGAGAGGATAATAGAAGAGAGGGGATTGCAGCGTGACCATCCCCCCTGGGGGGTGATTTCTCGCTTTCTGTCTCTCTGTCTCTCTCTGTCTGTCTGGCGAGCGCACGCGCCCTATAGTGAAAACCTCTCCAAAAAAAAAAAAAAGAACCTCTCTCTCTAAATAAAAAAGAAAGAAAGAAAGAATAAGTAGAGGGGACCAGCAGGTGGCATAGTAATTAAGGTGCTGGACTCCCACATGACCAACCGCAATGGAATCCTGGACCTAGCAGCTTGTTTATTTTCTTTCTCTCTTTTTTTTTTTTCTTTCTGGTAAGCTTACTTGCCCTATGGCAAGTTAAAAAATAATGGTGGCGTGGTAGTTAAGGCAATGGACACTCCCACATGGCCAACCAAGGTTTGAGTCCTGGACTTGGTGGCTTGCTTTCTCACTTTCCCTCTCTCAGTCTCTCTCATCAAATAAAAAAAAAAAAATGAATGAATAAATAAAATTAAATAATTAAAAAAATAATAAGAAAAATTAATTCTTAAAAAAAGAATAGGCAGAGGAAGGAAACATTTTATTTGAAAGAGGTAGTAATGGTAGAATAGGAACTTCCATTGGCTAGAAGGCTTTGGTGAGGAAATAGAGAGAATTACTTATTTTTTAAAATTTGAAGCTTTTTCTTTATGTCATGGGTGTGTATGCATGCAAATGAGAGAGAGAAGGAGAGAGAGAAAGTACCCCTCTACCCTCCAGTGTGGCCTGGCCACTCCACAATTTTTTTTCTTCCATTTCTCCATCTCTTAGGATCTGAGGTACACGCATACATGACTAGAGTATTCTTCAAGCTGCTGAGATCAGGATTCAAAGTGAGGTTGGCCATGAAGATCTAGTCTTCTTTATACCGTTCTAACCCTGAGCTGTAATGCTGGCTTGATAATTATTTTTAAGTAATATAGTTTACTGTGTATGTCATTTGCCCATTTTCACAAAGGACAGACCTGTGCCCTTAAACAAATTTACAGTTAGTTACAAAGTCAGTTTTTGATTCATGGATAGAAAGAGACAAGGTTATAAGGGTTTTGGGTGAGTATGATCTGCTAGAAAATAAGACAGGAGTGCTGGCCAGAGAGACAGGGAAAGGGGTGGAGGGGACACCTCTCAATGGGAAGAAGTCTTGCCTACAATACCTTCTCCGTTTCTCCCTTCTGCTAGGATTTTGGTCAGGCACGCATGTACTTGTTTATTTATTTAAGAATTATGTATTTAGGGCTGGCAGGTGGTATGGTGATTAAGGCACTGGACACTCCCACATGGCTGACCACAGTTCAAGTCCCAGGCCTGTTAGCTTGCTTTTTCACTTTCCTTCTATGTGTTTGTCTTTCTCTGGTTGAATGAAAATGATTGAATGGATAAATAAAATGAAATCCGTAATTCTTATAAGAAAAAAGAATTCTGTATTTAATTCTATTTTTAATTTATCATTATTATTTATTTGACCAGAGAGGGAGAAAGAAAGTGAGAAAGCAAGCCACCAGGTCCAGGACTTGAACTGCTGTCCATCATGTGGGAGTCCAGCACCTCAATTACCACTCTACCTGCTGGCTCCATTTAGTATGTTTTTTAAGTCGCTGGGTCTAGGATTTGAACCATAGTTGACTATATGGGATCCAGCTCCCTTAACCACTAGTTTTTGGGGCCAACCTTCATTGTTATTAAAAACTTTTTCTGGACTAGCAGTTGGCATAGTGGCTATGTTGCTGGACTCCACATAGCCGACTGCAGTTCGAGTCCTGGACCCAGTGGCTTAAACTCACGCCAGGCACGTCTGCGTGGGTGCCCAAGCTCTTGAGAGGAGAATGGAGGAGAAGGAAATGCAGCATGGCCATCCCCCCCAAGGGGTGATTTCTCACTTTTTCTCTCTCTGTCTTTCTGGCAAGCGCATGTGCCCTATAGCAAAAACGCTTCAAAAAAAAAACCTCCAAAGAAACAAAAAAACATTTTTTCACTTTGTTTCTAATAGAGTGAGAATGAGAGAGAAAGGAGCATCCACCACAGAGTCTTGTCATGTCAAGATCCCCTTCCTCCAGCCTTCCAGCCCATTGGCTCTTGAACACTCGCAAGAGTGCCCAGCATGTTTCAGATTGACTGGGCATGGGATTCAAACAGCTGTCACCATTTGGAATCCATCTCTTTTTTTTTTTTTTTTTTAAGGTTTTTGCCATAGAACACAGGTGCTCATTGGAGAGAGACAGAGACAATGAGAGGGAAAGTAAGCGAGAAATCACTACCCAGGGGGGATGGCCACTCCGCAATCCCTTCTCCTCCATTCTCCTCTTGGGATCTTGGGCATGCACGCACAGGTGCCCAGCGTGAGTTTTAATCCACCGGGTCTGGGACGCGAACCACGGTCAACTATGTGGGAGTCCAGCGACGTAGCAATTACGCTAACTGCTGGTCCCGACCATTTGGAATCCATCTCCTCTTGTACAGTGATTTACCACTGTGCCAAGGAGCCAGGCCATTATTGTTATTTTGTGACAAAAGATTTGCCCATTGGCTATTCTAGTCAAAGAAGCGAGTTCGTTATTACTAGAATAATTTTACCAAAATATGCATTTAGGGACCAGCAGTTAGCGTAATGGCTATGTCGCTGGACTCCCATGTAGTCGACCGCAGTTTGTGTCCTGGACCCAGTGGCTTAAAACTCATGCCAGGCACGTGTGCGTCTGTGCCCGAGATCCCAAGAGGAGAATGGAGGAGAAGGGATTGTGGTGTGGCCATCCCCCCTGGGGGGTGATTTCTCGCTTTCTGTCTCTATGTCTCTCTCTGTCTGTCTGGCGAGCGCACGCGCCCTATAGCAAAAACCTCTCAAAAAAAAAACCTTAAAAAAAAATATAAATTTACTCCCTATTCGTTTCTTCAGACAGTAGTTGTTGAATGTATTTCCCATGCAAAGTGCTGTTTTCTTGGAGTCTGATAATGGGGAAGACCTATGAGTAAGTGTAATTGATAGGAAACATTTAGGTAGAGAATTTTTTTAGTTTTTTCGCCACCCCTGGGGTGAATGATCACCCTGCAGTCCCTTCTCTTTTTGGGCATGCATGCTCATATACCCATTGTGTTTCTCAAGGCACAGGGTCCATGCAATTGGCCTTGTGTGACCCAGCTACCTTAACCTCTATGCCACCTGCTGGCCTGGTAGAGAATTTATGTGAGCATTGACAATAGCCATCTGAACCAGTCTGTGAATACAGGGATGGGTTTTCTGGTTGAAGTCAATACTTTAGATCAGAATTTGTATTCCGAGTTTGTTGGGGAATACCTTGACTAGGTTTACGTCACGTGTAGAGACAGAGAGAAGGGGTATAGAGAATAATTCTTTGTCTAGACTACATAGATTGGCTGGAGCCAAAGAACATGTGTATATTAGAGATGGACTTTAGAGATATTGGCAGGAACTTACTGTGTAAGCCAATTTGAATGTTTTCTTGAAAAAACCTAGAGATCTTTTAAATAATTTTTTGCAGATGAGCAGCATGGTCACATTTAAATTTTAGGAAGTTTACTGGAGTACTAGGATTCAGTTTAGTAGTAGTGACACCAGTGAAGAGGTCATTTGTTGATGTGTCTAGGAGAGAAATGATTAGCACTGGCACTAGGGTTTTTGATAATGAGAAGAGATGCCTGACTTTTTTTTCTTCTTTTTAAGCCACCAGGTCTGGGACTCGAACTATGCAGTTGGATAGTTCACGTAGAATCCAGCTGCCTTAACCTCTAGGCCATCTACTGGCCCTCTCATAAACTCTTTCGAGACCCCCATTCCCTATTTGACTAGTCTAGGAAATATCTCTTATATACTGTTAGAAGTGAACTTCTATTGTAATGAAAATTACACGCAATAACAAGTTTGATTCCTTGTTATACTCTTTTTTTTGGGAGAAGTTTTTGCTATAGGGTGCGTGCACTCGCCAGAAAGACAGAGAGAGACAGAGACAGAAAGCAAGAAATCACCCCCCAGGGGGATGGCCACGCCGCAATTCCTTCTCCTCCATTCTCTCAGGATCTTGGGCACACACGCACACGCCCCTGGCGTGAGTTCAAGCCGCCGGGTCCGGGACTCTAACCTCGGTCGACTACATGGAGGTCCAGCAACATAGCCATTACACTAACTGCTGGTCCCAATTTCTTGTTATACTCTTAAAAATGAAAATCTTATTGTAGCATAGCTGTCCCCCAAGAGGTGATTTCTCATTTTCCTTAGTTTCTCTCCTTTGAGCATAGCACATTATAACAGAACCAAAAAAAAAATTTTTTTTTAAAGTGAAATCCTTTTTTTTTTTTGG